TATTTTTTTTTAATATAAATACATAGTTGATATTGAAGAAATACGAATTGCCAAATAAACAGATGAAACATTACTCCGTGGTAAAAATAGAGTAAACCCTAAGTTTTGCAAGAACATAGCAGATCCATTGCTTACCTTACCGGTAAAATCTCATTTCATCCTCATGGTTATCGGAAAAAAAAGGCCTTTTTCTTTAATAAAGTAACTAAAAGAGTGTGACCTTTGTCTGTCAAAGGCTACTGATGGAGAAGGGGCCTCTATGTACAGTTTCTGTGTTTGTTTGCACTTCAGGTCAGCGAGTCATTATCTTATGAAATCCAGGCACCTTTGATACATAATGAACTGACAAACACAGATAACAAACTGGATAAAACCTTCTTTGTATCACTTCCAAAGCTCTGACCTAGTAGCATCAGTCCTGAATTAATTTTGAATTCCTCACTGTATTTCAAATTCTTCAGCACAGAGCAAATAAATGGCTGGCACCTTATTTAACAGCCCCTCGTGAATGTTGATGAACTGTTGTCTTGTCTTTTGTTCTTAACTCTGCCTGGAATTAATCATTTTCCTTTCTTTCAACACCTGATACTGTTCCCCACCTGTATGTAATACCTGGTGATCATGATGGCCTTGACAAGACGTGATAATATTAGAGATATCTGATTAATGTTGCATCTGGAAAGGAAAAGTCTAGTTGAAGGCTTTCATGCTGACATAGGGGAGTTAAAAAGATTCTTGGTTCCTGTGCCACTGATAGTTTCCTGGTCTAAAAAAAAAATCCACTTTGGACAGCATGTTCCCAAATTCTTTCGTAGCTCCAGTGATCACAATTATCTAGACATGGAAAATTAGATGGAGAAAAAACAAAAAGGGAAATTGTCCTAGATAAGAGCTCAAATTCACCAAGTGTGCAGTCTGTGTATTTTATATTACCATGAATTTAGAATTTCATAAAGAACTGATGCAAACTGTTTTAGCAATACTTAAACGTGAAACGTCACGACCAAAGAGCCGCAGAATTTGCTAACAAATTCTGTATAGGACCTGATATTCTGAAGTGTCCACTAGTAATCAGCTGCTGGATAATCACAGCCTATTGAAATATCTGTTTCTGTTCTTTTGCAGAGAAAATGCACTGTCTGCAGAATCCTTTGTCATGGGAAAAACACAGGAAGCATGATCCTGCAACATCTACAACTGCTCTGCCCTGCTGGGATTGAACTCTAATCTTCTGTATAATGGAGATTAATATCCCTTACAGATGCAAATTTAGGACAAGTTAGTGTCTATACAGGTTTGTGGTTTTTTCCCCCCCGATACTGCATTAGAAGATTTATAGTTTAATGTTGTAATTTAAAGATGTTCAGGTAATAGGAATTAACTTCATGTTGTAATAAGGAACCATTCTGCTCTGTTTCAATGACAGGAACATGACTGCCTGTTTTGCAGTACCTTGAGCACTCTCTAATGTGAACTTGGAAACTTCCTCATAACAGTGCCTTTCTAAAAGAATTTGTAAAAAAGAAGAGAAATGGCCACACTAATTCCTGCTATAGCAACTATTTATAATGGCCTATTTATACCTAGAGATACCTGCCCAGATCTGCTTTACTTTCTTTATGAAGGGAAAGAAATGCCTCAATGAGCTGGGGTACAAGGACACCATTTGCTTTGAGAGCAATACAAATTCCACGTACAACATGGAGTATTGTGTATTATAATACATAACACTATATTATTGCAACCCATCACTCACTTTCTATTTTAAAGGCAGAATTTAAATGTTAAAAGCAGTTATGCTGATGTTTCTGATATTAATTTGGCCAAACTGAATGGTGGAAATAGGAGACTAAGCACCATCCAGTATGGCACATATAGATACTGATCAGTTATCCCAGTTACAGACGAAAGAAAGGTTCCTGACAAATATATATTGAGGAAATAACACAGCAGAAAGAAAGGGGCAATGAGAGTACATGGACAGTGCATCACAGCAGTTTACCTCTCGTACTCAATCTTTTTTCCTGTTCCTGCTTTCTGTGATCTGCTGCTGTCCAAATCAGCAAACAGACAGGAGTAGACTTGCTCCTGTCCTGTCATAGGACAGGAAGAGATTGCACGCTGTAAGGTGAATCCTGCTCATTGTACCCATTAATGGGTCATTCTATGTTCTTCCAAGCTGGCAACTATTTTAGCTGGTGCCTCTCTACTGGATTCTGTAAGCTTTCCACAGTTATTTCCTTAAATGCAGTGCCTATGCTGTCCAGGATCAACTCTATTGACAGCATTTTCAAAGCAAGACCAAGCAGATTTCTGGTTTGCACAGACTATTTTCCATAAAAGCCAGACATCTGCCATGTTTGCACACTATAGTTTGGATCAGAATTTGGTGGAAGATTTTGTCAAACGCAAAGAACAGAAGGAAACAAGAAGAACACAGAAGCTTTATGAGCAAAACTCTCATGCAGACTCTGCTGCTATTGCTAAATACATAATTGTTTATACCATGAAATATAAATAATTTAACAACATAGCCTTAAAACTGTGGCAATAAATGCTATATAAGAAGAAAAAGTCACTTACCAGAAACCCCCCCAGACACATACACTGCTATGGTGACTGCCATTGCAAATCCAACTGCTGTCGTCATAGGCCCACCGTGGACTCCTCGACTAAGGACAGCCTGGCCCACACACCCACATCCAAGGGTCTGTATTTTGAAAGAGAAATGTAAAACCATGAGTGTGTCTGTCAAATGCTGGTTAGTTTTCAACTGCTGCTGCTGTCCAGATATAGCTGGAAATGTTGTTAAATATTAAAACAATGCTAGAATTTGAGATTAGTAGCATGTGTGCCATTGTTGCCTTTGCTGCAATGAACATTTCCTCTTCTTCCCCTGCTCTGTGACCAGGAAGAATGTTTACTTGTAAGGACCTCTCTCACTGGAAAAGAGTGCTCAAGTACAATGATGAGATATGGGTCAGAGCTTGGAGCTTAAACAAGATCTCACAGCCTCTACAACAAATCTCCGTATCTGAAAGTGAAGAAGATTCTGCGTGGTAAGTTTTTGTTTCCAGATGGTTATAAGCAATGAAAAAATTACAAGTTACGAAATATCATTCAAAAACCTTTTAATATTTAATGCTGAAACTCTGGAAGGAGACAACTTCCTGGAAATTAGAGTATGTGTTACTGTAGCTGCTTTATCAAAATATTTCACTGGTTCTGCAGCTTGAGCAGTTAACTGAAGTGGGGATACCTGAATAATTCACACTGGAGTATTCTCAGTGGATTTAAACTAGCTTCTGTTTTATGTCAGTTCTCCTCAGAATTAAACTCAGCGACACATTTAAATGTATGCTTAAGATCACGTTTATTGTGTTCTAAAGCTTCTGCTTAGCTTCAAGTGTACATTTAGGTCCTATTAAAGTTGGTAGGAAAGACATTCAGAGTTACAAAAGGCCTTTAGTTTAAGATAATAGACTAGCTGATCATTTTGTGCCAGAAATCAGTTTGTATCTTTGAAAATCTCCTTTTTAAATATATGCTTAAGTGCTTTGTTGAAGGACCCAGCACTATGTGGAAGATACCAAATATCTGTAGTCTGAAAACCTTTGCTGCTTTGCAGCTGTAAGTGATCTGAATTGTACTATTTCTGGGATGGGACTAGATTTATCTTGAACTTTAATCACTTTGAGGTTAAATCGGAGATACATATATTTTATAAATATATATTCCTACTTTGGTACATGGGAATCTGAGTTTTTTTCTTTTTTTCTATAAAATCATTCCATCTTAGTCTGTGCAGTTGCTTTGGTTAATCTCCTTGCTTTGCTTTAGTGTTCTGCCATTACTGCCAAACCACAACAGTTTGTCACCAATGACAGTATCACAAATACTCTTTCTAACTCTGCATGTTTGAATACATAAAATTTAGGTCTTTTAGAAATGCTTATTTTCAGTTGCAAGGCAGTTGCATTCAGAAACCATAAAGTAATGGGAAGATCTCTCCTGCCTTAGAAATGGGCTGTACCAAAAAGGTTTGGTGATTGAGGTTTAACAAGCAAGTCCTGCTACAATAGATATGATTTAAACTGGCAAAAAGAAAATCATATTTTTGTTTCCAAGGGTGTTTCCCCAAGGTTTTAACTAACACCAAAAAGTGACAGAAAAGCTCTCAATAAAATTACTCTCCTAACCAGCAATGCAGACGGAGTTGCTGTTATAAGAGTGCCCCAAGACTGTGTCATATACCCAGGTGCAGCTCTTGCCTTGAGGTTATAATCATGCAAGCAAACAAAGCACTGTCTGGTGCCAAAGCGTTACAGCTGTCAGGTTACGTAAAGGTAGGGTGCTGTTAGATAGCAGTAGTTTATTGGACTGTATAATTGAAAGTTGCAAGATACATTCCAAGCTGCAATTAGCTGCTGTGCAGAGGATGACATATGCTTACACTAGGCATTCTCTCCTTGCTATTAGTATCATATACCTAGCGATTGAAATGGTAAGCACATATACACATACAGATACAAACCCAAGGTGAAATACAGGTTAGTTGTTTGCAGCTGAAATCACATGCTTTTTTCTTTTTTTTTTTTTTTAAACTTCATATGAGACAATCCTGCTCATCATGTATTTATATGTTTAATTAACATGGAAAGAATAGATATACTGGAATTTATAAACTTTAAGATTAGGGCACAAATCTGGAGGAGGTGGAATTAAGTATGCTCTAGCCTTCATTTTCCAGACTTCTCAAAAGGAGTATTGCAGAAATTGCACCAAGCAAGGTTTTGTGAAAGATACTGCTCAGACATGGAGTAAATCCAGTAGGATGGCCTGGGGCCCTGTGTACCCTGGGATGCAGCCTGCATTCAGGCAAGCAGTTAGATCTACAAGCATGCACTTGTGTTGTAAAGTGGCATAGACAGTTTTGCAGATACAAAGAAAAGGACATTCTTTTGAAAGTATTACCCCTTTCCTTAAGGATGTTATAAAAATGAACAGAAATGGGGGAGATAGGTATAAAAAAAGGTAAGGGACAACAACAACATCTGTGTATATCAACTACAAATTCACAAGAAGACGGAAAGAAATAACAGAGGGAGGGTCTGGCCTCCCTTCCCTGATAAGCAGAACTGAGGAGAATCATACACAAACAGCTGTGTAGCACTCTCATGTAATAGCTTCTGCTCTGCATGTCATAGGGAAATATGCAACTACAGATGCTCCATTTTTGTGCTAGACTAGCCTCAGAAAGCTCAGTCTACAAACAAGAAAGCATGCAAGCCAGCTTGAGCAGAGCTGCACTTGCTTCTTGCTTTGTGAATGTTGGTAAGTGACTGCTCATGAGCACTATTGCAGGCCCAGTCAGTGTGTGCCCATTCTGGGATGGGGAAACTGGGAAATGAACCTATAAATCTGAACCATGTGACACTAATATTTTCTCCATCTGCTGTCATTTTAAGGAGAGAAACAAGTTTTCTCATACCTACTGCAGCTAGGTTGACATAAGTGGAAACTGCCACCTAATCATGTAATTACAGGAGCAGCAATTTAATACCCTGTGAATCTTTGCTTGGCTGAGTTAAGACCGACTAGATCATCAAGTTGTAACTAAATATTCTAAGTTTCTAAGCCAAGCTCAGCCATCAGCTGCACCCACACAAACTCATTGAATAAAGCACAAGGAATCGATGGGAATTTAATTTACAGTAGAATATAGCCAGATCTCTTTATCATATATTATGTTACCGGGTTTTCATCTGAGCAGTTGTCTATAGCCTGATCTGCTTGAATTTTCTAGAAGAGCTTCAGTACTGACTTTTGTTCACAAAGTAATGATACTACTGTCATAAAAACCACGTTTGGGTGTGGAATAGCTGTCTGCACATTCCCTGCCAAAAAAACTTGCTTCATAGACGTTAGAGCCTTTTCTTTGTCTTGGGTAACAAGGCCAATGTTAGGAAAGGAAAACAACTGGTCTCCAAGGAGCATAATGTCCTGTTACTCCTTGGAAACTTGCAGAATTTTATCTCTGTCCCATCCATCAGGGCGTCTAAAGATCATTTTGCTTCCATCTGTGCTATTTTCAGGATTTTTGCAAATGCTTGTAATAGCGTTTTTAGTGTAAATAGGATTTCCTGCCAGATTGGAATCCAGAATTTTAGGTAATTTATTTTCCTACATGGCCTATGAAGCTCTAGACATCCTAAAGCAGAATGCTTTAAGGCCCCTTCTTATCAAACAGATCTAGTGGTAGTGAGCACTCATAGCCATACACTTAAATGTTACAGAAGCAGCCAAATCTCCTGCTTTTTAGCAGTGTGGAGACAATGACAAGTGTTTTGTTGTATCTTGTACATCAGCAGCTGTCAAGCTGTGGTGAGGGTACCACAGGTGTCCCTGCAGGCAGATATGGCCTCAGTGGCTGCACAACTGGATGATGCTCTACATGAATGCAAGAACTCGGGGTGCTACGTGGAATACAGAGTCAGCAGTCACCAAAAAAATAAATAATTCTAAGCTGTACAATTTCAATCAGGAAATGCCAGAAAACCAGTTCAGAATTCCCATCTCAGTCAATTTTCAGGACTTCTTCCACCAAGTCACAATTTTGTGAGGATGCCTCTGTTCAGGTAAGGCAGCAACCCTGCCGCGCTCCCACCCGTGTTGTCCTATTGTTCCCCAGACAGGCATTTCCTGCTAGCCCATTGCCTGCTCCCCTTTCAGACCGGACATCCCTGCAGTACTGCTCTGGGTTCTGCTGCATGTGTGTGTGTTCCCTCGCAGTGCTGGGAAGGGCATGGGCTCTTGGCGTCAGTGCAGTGCCTCAGGCTCAAGCTGTGTGCTTGCAGTGAGCGTCCTTCTGCTATCCTGTTTGGAGTCTGCCCTGGTATTTCACTTCTTAGGGAAACCTCCATGACTTCTCCAAGCAGCCAGACTTTTGAGGGCCTATTTAGGCCCTTAAAAGCAGGAATAGAGGTAGGAAGAGTTAGAGAGTTCTTTGGAGATTGTGAGAAAAGATCATTTGCCCTTCAGTGCAGGTAGGAGTCTCTGACCAAAATTGCCCATGAAAGCATTAGAGGTTATTTGTGGTTTACTTTAGCCTTGTACAGTTTCCCCTGCCCCCCATTAACATGTCCATATACAGTTAGTTTGAGTGTTGCCTATGAAAGTAATAAATAAACAAACTTTTCAGATGTGAGGCAGTTACTAAATTAGTGGTGTAGTGCCTTAATTCAGACTGGGCTCCTAAACACTTTCAGTAGGGATGGTAAGGCTAACAGCAGCATGTTGGATGTATGAAAATTTAGGGCATTACCTCTGCACATTCAATTTGCAGGAAACTCATGTTCTTCCAGGACAGAGCAATCTTCACCTAATTTCATGTTTAATATTTACTATCTATTGTTAAATCAGTACTTAAAATTTTTAGGTGTGATTAAAACCACAGCTTACCAGTCATGTAATTGTTAAATACTTTAAAAGCTCATGCCTCTTATTTTATCATTAATTAAATATTTTGGTGGGGATGGGAGGATTTCTGTACATTATGATTTAATCAAACTTGGAGTAATAAAAAAACCCACTATATCTGTTCTCCTGATGATCTCCTGGGATACAACCAATATCCTCTGGGGTTCAAATGGATCTAGGCTTGCTATCTAGTAAAACAAGGGTTTGAAATAAACCCTATCATTTAGTTAA